GGGATTCAACTTCAGCCTATTTGCTGAATCACAACAGCATCAAGGCACTGGTCTTGATTGTGTGCAGTAACACTTTCTGTCAACACTCGTTTGAAATCAACCCTACAGATAAGAAAGGAACCGCTGTAAAACAATACCTCCAGCTCTGCTCACAGGGAGGAGGATGCTACAGTTAGTGGTATAAAGAACACTGAGAGATCAAGGCGATCTCTCAAAGATACAGGCAAAAATTTGAAAAACCAAGTGTGTCTTAGTAATAGTACTGTCTCCCAAAACACGCACATATTGGCAATGACAATTTCCCAACTCTTCATATTATAGAAAGTTGTAACCAACAAGAGGTCGGGATTTGCACAACTTTTTTTTAGATCACAGAACACTGATAGAATTGGCAACATGTAAAAAGCTGCAACAGTGACTTAAGCTTAATATTGTCATCCCTACCCTCAATGTTCATTTATTCTATGTGTAGCTGTATTTTTTCAGTGAGGGAGCATTCTTAAGCCAGTCCGAAGCAGGACACTCAGAAACGTGGAGTATTTATCTTAGAGCCTCTCCATTCTATTTTCACCACATCTTGCTTAAGAAGAATCTCTGACATTTAATACATGATTTGATATTGAGTTTCTTTGCAGTTCTGCAGTAATGTTTGCTTACAAATTTTCATGCCTTTTTCAATCATGAAGTATTCTCCATTTGGCAAAAGAATATTCACTCAAGAGAACACATGGAATCCAGGGTTTAAGGAATATGGGTATTTTCCTCCTTTCTCTCCCTCTACAAATATTTTTCTGTATTAGCCATATTTCACACAAGAAGTCAGCATCATTTTAATCGATATCATATGAGTTACTCACAGAAAGTTACATTTTCAACACATTTTAGAAATAAAACATAGATCTACTTCTTGACTTTACATAAGATCAACAAATGAAGGGGCTCCCTAATTTTATAGCTACAATCCAAAATATAGCCACTCTTGAATTAGAATATACTGTGTCTGAAGCAACAACTTAAGAGTATATGAATTAAAGAAAATGAGAGCTCTTAAAACTAAGCTTATT